AGCTATAATGAAAGCATAGATGAAAAATAAGACTCCAAAAATATGTGGAGTAGCATTTAAAATGTTTAAATAAATAGATGCAATGCTGGAGGTGCCTGCTTTTTCTATTTTAACAAATGCGGAAGGCACAGCCAATGTCTGGAAGAGATGTGTATTTTTGACCCTTCCAAAGAATAGCTATCCAACAGAATGCAGAAATTGTTGAATAATATCAAGTACAAGTAAAATTTTACTATGGATAATTTAAGAACAGTTGCAGCAGTATATCCAACAGAATTTCCAGAAAGTCAAGCCAGATTCAGTCAAGCATGTGGAATGATGATGTCAGATGAATCTTGACTGAATGTAGAGAATACTAAAAAAATTTTTTTGGCTTAGCAAAAGCATTCAACAATGTGAATTGGAACAAATTCTGAATTACATCACTCAAAATATGCATCAATTTGTCCTGGCCATAATTTGCAGTATGATATAATTATCGTATATGTTATAAATCCTAGCCTCTGTGATGCTAATGAGGCAGGATTATTTTGTAATTATATCCTTCTCCATAATGTGAAGTGACATCTAATCAGCCAGTCGGTTATAAGGAGATTGGACCGGGATGCAATATCCTTGGCCACAGCCATTATGTCAAGGAAAGGGAGTTTCTCTGGGGTATAGCAGGTAACATTTTTTTTAAAGGAGTTGAGCAAAGAGGCACCATAACAGAAGAGCTAAAAGCAAAGTGTTTCCTTTGCACCCAGGTCTTTGTGCTTGTAAACTCCTGGACCAGGGAAAGCCATGAAATATGGAGATCTCCAAGGAATGCCAGGCCTATAGATGCTGAAGGAAAGAACTTTCCTCCAGAATGAACACAGAGAGAAAGCCTTCCTCCAGAGCCAGTACTCTAATCAGTTGTCTGGGGAGAGGCAAAGCTCATGCCTGGTACAGATGGTTCCATGATATCCAGACACTATTTGCAAGTAGATAGTGGAAGTACTGCAAGAGATCTCGTTCAGGGAAATGGGTGTAAGAAAGCACTGCTGACTAGTTTCTATTGACCATAGTTGCTATTTACTATCCTATTTGAGAGCCTCCAGAGGTCAGGTTAGACTATGTGATCATGCTCTGCAGAATGTAAAAAGAATACAACACCCAACAACACAACAACAACAACAACAACAAAAAAGGAAACCGCATAATGTGCTAAGTAAAAGATTAATGGTTTCTCCTAGTATTTTTGAGCTAATACTATGATGAGTTATCTAAAAGAAAAGTCAGATATTTGAGTAAGGATGCAGTTTCAGTGCTTGCTATAGAAATGGATAAACTTTCTTGTGCCACTTCTGAAAATGGGTTCTGTTAGCTGGCACTTGACGTGAAAATGGTTTTTTCTGCGTCTTCAAGAAGTGTCAGGAGATAATCTCTCTCTGTTAAAGTCAACAGAGAGAATGCAGAGACCAAATTCAGAAAATTGGGCCCACTGGGCTTCCCAGGGAGTCTTATGTTTCGAGGGATTTAGGTCCAAATATCACGTATCATGTATCAGTTTAAGAGAGGGATTTTGGTCCACAGTCAAAAGGGGAAGCGCTACTGCCCCTGAGCTTCTGCTCCACGACTGCTGTCTTGTGTGGCAGAGTGTCTCTGCTCTTTCTTTTGCACCACACATGGCTGTCACAGTAGGGTAATTTCCAAGGTGAGGGCTATGGCTCCTGCAGATCTGGCATGATAGTGTAGTTGGCTGGTTGTTAGCAAAGCCAATGGGATCCTAGGAGAATGGGGATACCTGGGGGGAGGCAAGATGATGATGGTCTCAGCTTCCTGTGGTGTGCGACATGCTGGGGTTCCCAACAAGAATTTGGGGTGTAGAAGGTGAAACCAGACTCTGGCTCTGTGCGGAGCTCTGCATTTCCACTGCAGGTCTGGGCCTGAACATCTTCAATCTATACACTGAGCAAGTTAGTCCAGAAGCTAGAAGACTTTGGCATCAGGATTGGAAGAATACTTATCAACAACCTGCAGTAAGTGGGTGATATAACCTTGCTTGCAGAAAGTGAAGAAAACTTGAAACACGTACTGCAGAAGACCTTCAGTGTATGGGTTACATCTCAATATCAAGAAAAAAAAAATACCACTTTTCAACATCATGTTAGCTGGAGAAATTGTGAGATTAAAAATTTTGTTAAAATCATCCATTTGTGATATTTTAGTTACAGCAGCAGTAAATAAGAAGCCCAGCTGTTTCTCTGAGCTGAGCCTTGTGCAGGCATGGTTGGAGCTTTAGTTTATTATAAGGATTGAGCAAATTCATTAATCTCATACTGATGCTCTGCCTTCATGAGGTTATCTACCAAGCTGGTGCATAGCTCACACTCATTTGAATACATTTTAAGGTAATTTTCTGGAAGTTTCACATAATAAAGAAACCCCAATTGCTGGAAAATTCCAAGAATTATTTTCAGGAACCATGCACAAAGGCCAAACATGATCTTTATCTGACATCCGTATTTTGAAATTTCACAATGCTCTATCTTCATGAGACACTTTTATTTGTGTGCTGCAAATACAACTCTGCACCGTTCATCCTTTGATTTTGTAAATGTCTGTGCCTTATTTATATCTATCTATCTATCTATCTATCTATCCATCCATCCCTTCCTGTTTTGTTTTTCTCTCTGAAATTAAGATATTCGATTCAAATATAGTATTCAAATCAGAGACCTTCTAGGAGGCTAAAATTTGAAGCTTTGTCTCACATACTTTGGGCATGTGGCCAGGAGGAACCAGTCCTTGGAGAAGGATATCATGCTTGGAATGGTGGGGGGACAGTACAGGAGAGGAAGACCCCGGATGAGATGGATGGATACAGTAGTTGGGGTGATGGGGTAGGTATGTCAGAGTCAGTGATCCTGGCTCAGGACAAGATAGTGTTCAAAGCTGCTGTACATTGGGTTGCTATGAGTTGAAGGCAACTCCTCAGCACATAACAACCTTAGCTTGTTCTTATAAATTTCTTTTTTTTTTGTCTCCTTTCTTATTTTCTGTCTTTTAAAAACAAAACAACTTTTTTTCTATTAATTATATTTGTTGAGTTTTTTTTTTTATGTAACTCTTTTGTTTTCTAAGACAGCCTACCTTAAATATAGTTCGTGACTGTATGTATTCCATCTCCTTCGCCTCCCCCCAATACTGGTTTACTTACAAAGTTTGTAAAGTTTGTATATATTATATTCCATCTACTTTTATTGGTGAAGTACCAAGAAACTGAGCTGAATTCCTTTGGTATTCAAGACTCTCCATCTGGAGTTTCTTTAAGATTCAGAAGCAAGGACTGGCTTGCTTGCTTGTTTATTTATGTATGTATTTCTTTATTCCTCCCACACAGCTTTTTAAAAAAGTCTTCTTAGTTTTTACTTGTGAGGTAGTTGGAACCATCCAGAGAGAACGTTCAAACCTCTTTTCTGTTGAGTTTTTCAGCCTGACTTCTTGGGTTCTCAGAGTTGGTGGGAGGGGAACTGGTTCTTTGAGTATTTAATGCAAAGACTTTCTTTGACTTCAGCTTCTGTTTTCAGGGTACAGCCTCCCTCTTGTCTCAGTTTGGTTTGATGCCTCCAAGCCTCAAGTCCTGCTGAAGTAAATAAGCTGCTTTCTCCTGAGCTGAGGAAGAGAAACTTCCTCTTTGCCAGGAGTCTGAAGCTCTAGGTCAGGAGTTGTCAAAGCTTTTCTCTGTAAACCCTGAGAGAAAATATTTTAGGCTCAGTGAGCCATAGATGATCAAAATCAAGTATTTTCTTCTCCTCATTCTTTTTAACAACTCTTAAAACCAAAACCAAAACAAAGCTATTTTGTTTACAGACACTACAAAATGGGCTGTATCCCTGACAGGTGGGAGTAGTTTGACTGACCTTGGCCTACATCACCCACTTAGACACAACCCACCAACCATCCTCATTCAGCCATGTCCCAAGGCTCTGCCTTCAGAGGAATGTGAAGCTTTTGGTTTCTGGTCCTTTTTGAGATTTATACGGGAGCTGAGTATTTTTTTAAATAGGTACTTCACTTGCCTCATGGAAGCTTAGATTTTAGCCTTTGCCGGCTGGCTAGGTGAACTGCGTGACTATTTACCCCTGATCTGCCATCATCTCTTTTCTCTCTGTCTTTACTGGATTATGTCTTCTTCCTCCCCCTCAACCATTTACTTGGATCCATTTGCTTGGAAACAGGGTAGAAATAAACACATGTGTTTACTAAGTTTAACCAGAAGCTCCCCCCATATCTAATTTGGTTAGTTTTTATTTTTACTACTCCCTTTGATAGTGCTTGGGTTAATTTTGCATTTGTTCTCCACGTGCTCACTTGCTTTGCCAGATGTTCAAAGAAGATGTCCTTGGGGAGGAAAAATGAGGGGTTTTAAAATGTAGTGTTCTTGAAATGGTCACCATGGTTCAGTGTGGGAGATCTCAAGGAGACTCAACTGTTTCTTTTACCCACCAGACTTCCATAATAGAAATACAGTTTCACCCTTATTTGTGTAAACCATCAGGAGCATTTTTAAATGTTTGTAATAAAGTTTGTGGCTTATTGTTTAAAATTTAATTTAAGGTAGTAAATCAAAGCTTTTGGTGGCATGCCTCTGACAGCAGGGAGAGCCTGGTAAGTGATCCCTAAGAGCTGATCAAAGAGAGTTGTGGAGCATTTTTTCCTATATTTGTGTTTTGGGCCTTTAATCTGGTAGTGTTTCCAATTCCATTATGAACACAGCTATGCACACTCAGTTCCCGGCTCAAGTCTTTTTTGGCGGCATCTGGAACTCTCTTTGCCAAATAGTCACTGTTCAGGCCTAAGCTTTCCTTTACTGTCAAGTCCCTGCAAGGTCAAAACAATGGTGATTGTCAGTCAGAAAATGGAGTTCTTTCAAGATCTTGTTCAGACTACATAGCTGTCCTAGAGATCAAATAAGAATTGAAAATTCAAAACTAAAATTCACTGGAAAGTAACCACTAGTCATTTCTGTCTAGGTTCACCGTTCCTTGCAAGTGAAGATGGCGTTCTTGGGGGGGTGATTGTCCTCCGGTCTTGCAGATGCTCTGAAGAGCCTGACTCCTCACAGAGTGAGCAGAGACTCCTGGGTAAGTAAGATATTGGTCTGCCTGTGAATGTGTAAAAAGATTTATATGTCAATCATTGTAAGCACTAAGAGGGCTAAGGTGCTCTTTTTACACCTATTTCTGTTCTATTGATCTTTCTCCATTGGTAAAGAGTTAAAAGAAAAGAAAAAAAGAATGTTTAATGTTAAGTGTGCAGTTTTTAAGTAAGCTATGAACTTAGAGCCTTTATTAAGATAGTAAGAACATTGGACCACAGTGCATCTGATGATCCCTTCAGCTGAAGGGTCAGCTATGGATCTGAATCAACTGCACACAAAACAACTAAAACAACTACTTCTCTAGATATACATAGACACTTACAGAGTAATAAGAAAAAGGCCCTATTCCGGCTTCCTCCTTTAAAAAAAAAAGACATCAGAAACATGTGAAGAGCTGTAGGCCTACCAGTCATTCTTGGCTCCTCTGCATATTGGCTCTGATGCCTGTGTGTGTCAGCCTTACCATTCACTGATTCACTGCTACCTCTTTGTCTATAAAGTGCAGACATCTGCCCTGCCTTCCTCATAAAGCTGTAGGGAGGGAAGGTCAAATGAATGTTTCATAGATTTGCAGATGGCCATACAGATGTGTGAGTTTATGCCAGACATACCAGTGGAGATCAACCCCAGCTTCTCTCCACTGGCCACGTTACATACTTACGAAGTTGCCTCTGCAGACGTGTAGCAAGTCTTGTTCTATCTAATTCATTCGTCCAGAGGGAGCCCTTTTAAAAAATATGTATGAAGATGCTACATGGCCTGGCTAGGGCCCCAGTGTGTTGTTATTTTGTTTTATTTATTATTTTTGTGTGAGTGTACCGTCAAATCAGATCTGACTGGTACAGGAGGAAATTGTCCCTCCTTCCCCGGCAGAGCATCTGGTGGATTCGAACCGTGTGCCTCTGGTATTGTAGTTGCAGTTCCTTGCCACTAGGCCACCAGAGCTTCCGTTATTTTGTTTTAAATTATCTTTTTAATTGAAAATATATGCACATTCCTAAAAGTATACATATACCACCTTCATCTGCTTGAATTGTCACACCGAGATTGAAACTCGTACCTTTAAACCTCTATCTGTCCCTTTCAGTCTCTGTCCCCTTAAAAGTTAAGCACAATTTATGACTTCTTATATCATGCATATCATATACATGAAGTAAATAGAACACAATGTAGTAAATAAACACATGGAATGTGTCCTATTTATGTGTAAGGTCTTTTGGTAAATGTTGTTTGTTTGATTCCTCATGTTACATGTAGCGGCACTGCTCATTTTCATTATTGTATAGTATGCTGATGTATATGCCACAGTGTATCTTTTCCTACTTCTGTAGTCATCCACAGGAGCAGTGGTAATCCAGTCCTGTTTAGAACTGTCCTTACAAAAAGTGTGATAGTGTCTGATTGATGTGTATGATTGTTGTAGATTGCTGTACTGTGGACTCTTCCCAACCTGAAGGTTTGTGGATTGAATTTATACAGTAGAAGATGAATTTTTTCTTGGTATAAAATCAGTTTTAAATAGAAGCTTGCCCAAATAATTTCATAAAACGTGTGCCCTCTTTTCTTACCTAAACTATGGATCTCATGGTTTTTCTTCTTGTATTTTTGTCTCTCCACACACTACATAGCATTAAAGTTGCTTCCCAGGAAATTTTTTGCTTTACTCATGTGTTTTATTGTTGTTGAAAATAGACAGAACAGAGCATATGCCACTTCAACAGTTTCTGCATGTACAATTGAGTTTTATCACAGAGTCATTAAAAATAGATGACTCTCAGTGGATGGATTGTCACAGCAACTGTTACCATGGACTCCAGCATGTTGCAAGTAATAAGGATGACACACAATAGGCAAGGGTTCCAATCTAATGTTCATAGGGTCACTAAGAGTCATAGTCAACTTGATGGCACTAAACAAGATCAGCAACAGGCTGTGTTACACGTGCTGCTTACCTTTTCCGAACTGATTTCCCCATTAGTATACACTTGTTGTTGTTCTTATGTGCCTGTGACTCATAGCGACCCTATGTACAATAGCTCTAAACCCTGCTCTATCTTGAGCCTGTCTCATTGTCTTCAAAAGACCTTATTTCATTTCTCTAGTCACTGAGGCAATCCCTCTCACCCTGGGTCCTCCTCCTGTGCTGTCCCTTCACCCTTCTAAGCATGATGTCCCTCTTCAAGGACTACTCCGTCCTGGCCTTTTGTCCAAAGTATGTGAGACAGAGCTTTAAAAATCCTTGATTCCAGAGAGCAGCTTGGTTTCAACCCCTCAAGGACAGACCTGTTTGTTTTTCCAGCAGCCCATGGTATGTTTAACACTCTTCTCCAGCACCACAACTCAAAGGCATCAGTTCTTCTTCTGTCAGCCGTGCTCATTGTCTAGCTCTCTGATGTATAGCAAGCAACTGTGAAGACCGTAGCCTTTATCAGCCACACTTTAGTCTTCACAGAATGACATCATTACTCTTCAGGACTCTAGAAAGATCCTGACAGAAGCTTTTCCCAGTGCAGTTCATCACTTGATTTTTTTTTTAAATTATTATTAAATTTTATTAGTTTTAGTGAACATTTGCAGAGATTTTGGGTTTTCATTCATTCATTGTTGCACTGTTTTCTCTACCCTCCTCCCAGTTCATTCTTCTTCCTCATCATTTGATTTTGTTATGGCTGTTGCCAAGAGTGTTGATTGTGGAACTAATCAAACTGAAGCTATTAACAATTTCTATCTCTCCTCCATCTATCATAAAGCTCCAGTTGACCCAGTGGTAAGAATCTTTATGTTCTTGATGTTGAGCTTCAATCCATATTGAAGATTACAATCCTTGCTCTTCTGCAAATGCCTCATGTCCTCCTCAGTTTCAGCAAGCAGGGTTGTGCCATCTGCATAACACATCAATCCTGATGCCTCATTCTTCCTTATAAAGTCCAGCCTCCTGAATGATTGTTCTACATATAGATTGAAAAGGTATGGAGATAGGATGCATCCCTGACACCCACCTTTCTTGATTCTGAACCATGCATTGTTTCCCTGCTCTGTTCTTTCTTCTGCTTCATTGTTCAAATGTAGGTTTCACATGAGCACAATTAATTGTTCTGGGATCCCCATTCTCATCATGGCTAGCCACAATTTGTTGTGATCTACACAATCAAATGCCTTTGCATAGTCAATGAAACACAGATAGACATTCCTCTAGTACTCGCTGCTTTCAGCCAAGATCCATCTAACATTGGCTATGATGTCCCTAGTGCCACAGACTCTTTTAAACCCAGCTTGCACATCTGGTAGTTCTCTGCTGATGTACAGTTCTAGTTGTTTGTTAATAATCTTCAGCAGGATCTTGCTTGCATGTGATATTATTAATATTGCTTAATAATTTCTACTCTGTCAGTCTCTCTTCCAGTCAGTTGACCACATGGTTGTCCTCAAGATTTCTTGGTACAACCTCATGAGTACATCGGGGGTAGCATCTATTTTCTGAAATATGTCATTTGGTATCCCATCACTTCCTGGGGCCTTGTTTTTTACCAGTTCCTTCAGAGTAGCTTGAACTTCATCCTTCATCACTACTGCCTCTTGATCATATGTTATTTCATAAAATTCTTCTGTGTTAGCCAACTCTTTTTGGTATAATGACTCTGTGTACTCCTTTCATCTTCTTTAGATGCTACTTGGATCATTCAACATTCTGTCCTCAGCATTGCAACTAAGTATTCCAACTTGAGGCTTAAACTTGTTCTTCAGTTACTTCAGTTTAAGAAATGTTGAGCAAGTTTGTCCCTTTTGATTTTCTGACTCCAGCTCTTTGCACATTTCATTATAATATTTTGCTTTGTCTTCCAAGCTGCCCTTTGAGTCTTTGTTCAGCTCCTTAACTTCTTGATTTCTTGCCTTTGCTTTGGCTTCTTGGCACTCCAGTGCAAGGTTCAAAGTCTTACCTGACATCCATCTTGGTCTTTTCTTCCTCCTCTGCCTTTGTAATGACCTTGTGCATTCTTCATGAATGATATTCTTGATACCCTCTCACAGCTCATCTGGTCTTCACTTTTAATTGGTCAAGGCCTCAAACCCGTTCCTGAGATGGCCTTGAAATTCTAGTGTGATAGACCCTCCACATACAGGCTGCCCAAGTGGATGGTCCTGATCTCCAACAACACTAGAGACAAAGGAGGACACTAAGCTGGAGGAGAATAGGTCAGGAGTGAACACTTTCCATTGCTTGTGGGGAGACGGAGCTGATGCGTCCCTGGGGTTGGAGGTCCCTCCATTTGGAAGTCCTTAACTCCATGGCTATGGGGCCATATCAGGAGCCAAAAAGGACAAGAGATTTTAGTGTGCAGATCTTTGGGAAGAGGGAAAGGATTTTTATAGTTCTCTGAAACATAAGGCTGACTTGTGAACCTCTGCATACAGGCTGCACAAGTGGTTCCTTACCTCCAGTCACACCAGAGACAGAGAGGGACACCAACTGCAGGAGAAAAGGGCAGCAAAGGTGGGGCTCTGTGTTGATAGCGAACCCTCTCCATTGCTTATGGGGAGACATGACTGAGGTATCCATGGGATTGTGGATACCTCCATATGGAGGTCCTTGCCTTTACAGCTGCAGGGCCATCCCAGGGTCCAAAAGGATAGGAAAGTTTAGTTTGCAGAACTTTGAGTAGACAGAAGGAATTTTTGTAGCTCTCTGTGAGAGAGAGGGATGACTGACTTCAGAATCCCTGCAGGCAAGCTGCTTGAGCTGGCAGCTCTGATCTCTAATCTTGTACCACAGAGACAAAGGAGGACATTAAGCTCCAGGAGAGAAGGTACATGAGAAACTACTAGATTAGAGCACATGATCTCACACCACTCAGCCACTTCATATATGAAGGTGTTGGTGTTAGGAGACAACTTCACGTACTACTGGGCTGCAGTACAGAACAGAGAGAACCTCAAGGATTTTGGAAAGGCAAATTCACCACATTTTAATTTGGCAACTAATTA